CTATGAAACATCAAATGAGTAATGAAAGCAAACATGAGTTAAACAATTAACAAGGATGCTGCAGAATCTAGTGCACCAAGTTCAGTGTTGATAAAACATCAATTGAGTAATGAAAGCAGCTATGAGTTAAAAAATTAACAAGGATGCTGCAGAATCTAGTGAACCAAGTTCAGTGTCGTCTGGACAGCTACTTCTAAAATATGTTATATTATTGTCACATTTTTCACAAAATGTGACAAATATGCTTTAAATTTCATTGCACTTTCTTCATTAATTTTGAATTTATTGATAAAATTCTGGATTTGGCTGCTAGTGGAACACCTTATATATTTGAAAAATGTTCATGAAAATAAGTTTTTTTTTTATCGGTTATTGCGACTTGATAGTATCGATTGTGGACAAATTTGCAGCTTACCAATTAAAGTTTAAAACATATATATACAGTTTTATAAAAAAAATACGAAGTTTTTAAGTAACAAATTTTCCTTTAGTATTTTTAAACAAAAGTATTCAGTTACTGCATTAATGAAATGAGTAAATTTTCATCCTGTTTTGTGTATGAACTGAAATGTTGCTGCTTAATTATCAGTACACACACACATGTATATATTACCTTATAACCTAACCTAAACCTTCAATTTATACCTAAATTTTCAATTTATTTGGGGTGGTTACTCACTTTATGTCCATGCTTTTAAGTATTATGTTATGTTATCTGTGCTAGTAGAAGTGTCAGATGAGAAGAAAAGAAAACAAATTAATATGACAATGGAAATGAAATTGGATGCCTCTAGATGCTCTAGAAACCTCTAGAAATGGAGGTTTCTAGAGCCTCTAGAAACTGGATCTTCAGGATGCCTCTAGAAACTGGATAAAGATAAAGTATTAATTAAATTGCTATAGATTTAGGTGTTGAATGAAATATTATTAGATGTGAATGATTCATCCCTTTTTCCATAAAACTCAATATTTTCGGTAATTCATCAACTCCTCAGTTGACATTAGGTCAAGTTTGTGGGATTCTTTTTGAATTCATAAGAATACTTTCATGGTGTATTATGGATAAATTATTGTAAATTGTGCAGATCATGGAAGAATTGGAATTGAGAGTGATAGAGAGATACTAAGACTTTCTAATGGTATAAGAATAGGTATAGTTGGAATACTAATAGACATTTCTGATTGAATGTATAATCAATAACAGGGGAGGCCAAACTTTATGATGATAGGAGCTACATAGTAGTGTTCATGAAAGCTCAAAAACTATGACTAGATTTTTCAGGAGCTGCAAATCCACATCTATATTATTAAAAAAGTAATAAGACAGGTTTTGAACATAAACCTTTGAATTGATGAGTCCTGTGTTGTTGTGTAGTTGCCTAGTTTTATAAGAAGTAAACTGAAATTGTAAGCATAAGTGTTGCTCTTCATGAATAAAATAATGTGTTTTTTTCCCCATTTGAGTGAAGCATAAATCAAATTTTAAAAGTGATCAAGTTTTTTATTTTTATATTATATGCAATCTTTGGAAAGAATAAAATAAGTGATATGGGACAGCAATGCAATGCAGAGAAACTGTTATTTGATAAAGAAAAAAAATAAGCTATCAGCTCTTTTAGGCTTTCGCATAAAAATTAATAATTTTGTTTGCCCACACAATTAACATGAGGATCAATATACTGAGATCGAATCTAACTTTAGATATTTGATTTAATTTATCAAATGCAGACTGGATTAAAAACTACATTTTTTTTTTTCGAAGTCTGAACTCATGAATCTTATATTTTTATATTCCAGGCTTGAAATTTTAGAGCTTTTTATCATTCGAATCTGTTGAAGCTTAACTTGAAAAATTGTTAAAGATTTTAAGTCATAATTTAGAATTAACTAGTTTTATTAATGACTAAAAATAATGCAATTCGATTTTAGTGATATCTGATTCATCAATATCATTCGTAATGACCATGAGTGTTACACTATTTCAGGTATCCAGTGAAATTTGCAGAATTTTTAAGTAATCAGTCATTTAAAATTCTTTAAACTATTTCTCTATATCTCAATAATTTTCTAGATTCAGATAATTTAGTATTAGTATATTTAGCAGTTTATGATGAAATAAATGCTTCATTGCACATATATTACAATTATTGTCTACCAGTCAAAATCTTTAGTCATGGTTGTTGAATTTGAACAAGTTTGTTGAACCCAGGATGTCCATATCAACTTTATTTGTTGATATGGACGTCCTGGACATTTCCCCTTGAATAAGCAACCAGTCTCCTTAAACTATTTCATCCTGTTTGTAATTTTATGACAGTGAGGAGCTTCTTTAGCAAATTTGATCCAGAAATGTCTCTGAACAGCAGTTAGGGATGGAGATTTTGCATGTCACATAATGAATTTTTCTTCCACTAAAGCTGCCATTTTTATATCATCACCTTTAGCAAATTTTTTGGTGTTGTCAAATGAAAGTTAGAGAGTTAATCTTTCATTTCATAACTATATCTATTAAATATAATTATTACAGAAGTCATAAGTGTGTTTTGTTTCTGTTCAGTTCATTCTGAATTGCCCTATATGTTTGTCAAATTATGTCCAGAAAATGAACCGCAATATTCAACAGTTTATATATGTATTCTCTAAATTTCATCTATAACTTTTTAAAAACCCATGCCCTTAAATTTGTTTTCCATTAAACGCAGATTTCACATTTTGCTTCAAGGCATATATATATTGTACATATCTGTGTCGTATGATGGATGACGATGTTACCAACATTATTTTGAACTCGTTCCATTTCAAAAATGCATGCAGAACTGATTTACCACATCAGTTAACTAATGATCTTTAGAAGGTTTTTTTAAGTGTCACTTTAACAAGAAGATGAATATCTGATATAATTATCTAGCAGTTCACGAATGTTTCATATTAGTTGAAGAAAGAAAACTTCTGATATTTATGCATAATAAATGTGTTTTTCCTCGCCTTTCCACGTCATTTTCTCCTACATTGTGTTCCTAAATTATGCCTTTTTTTAATTTTTATTTTATTTTATTTTATTTATTTATTTTCTTTTTGTGTGTGTGTGTGTATATATATGTGTATGCCTGCTTGATGGTAGACTGGCTGGATTGGATCCAGTCACTTTTGATAAATGCATTTCTCTTTTAATCCCTTTGGTGGGATAGATTGCATACATTTCTTTTATTTAAAGCTGAATACAAGTGTCCACTTGATTTCTGTAGAGAACATCATTTTGAAATGAACAGCATTTGAAATGGAATGTGTAGGTGTATGTCAACAGCATGAATCTGGAAAATGAAAGTTCATGTTTCAGAAATGAACTTTTGCAGTGTAAAACTCCAACAGAAATTCACATTGCATGAAATTTGTTGTGATTGGGCAGTGGCTGTTAGTGGATAGCTTTCTGTTGGCTACTAAATTTTGGGGAAAGATGTGTCAGGCATATAAGATGATCGGAGATTAGGAGAATAAAAAATATCTGCAACCTAAAAAAGTGTAGTGGCAGCATTGGAATCAGGACAACCACTATAAATGCACTGGGAAGCAGTATTAAGAAGTGAAAAATTTTACAGGTACCTGGTGGCAAAAAGTGTAGTGTCAGCTCTAACCTAGTATGATATTTGTGGTGTGCTAGAAGAAAGAAATTAAGCAATATGCAAGAAGATATCACAGGCGATTTTATCATTATTCTTTGTTATGACAGAAGTTTTGTAGAAGCGAGAAGTTTGTGTCTGGTTGGTCCCTCACTTCTTGATACAACACTGTTGAAACAAAGACTTCATGATGAAGGTGAAAAAGTTTAATGTTGAATGATGGTAATGGACAAAACATGAATTAAAATCTTCAACCAGAATTGAAATTGTTGTCAATCTTGTGGATCCATTGTCCTTGTAACCTCAAAAATTTCAACTTGCTAAATCCTTTGTGAACTAAAGATTACCTCTGCCTAGTATTACCAAAGAATTATTGCAAAAGATAGTTTTATGTGGAAAATGTGGAAAAAGTATATCTGTAGCATATTATTTTACTGAAAATTATATAAAAATGATCTAACTTGCTTGGGGATTACTTAAGGACACTCACAATGTCAGAAGTTGAATTAATATCGAAGTACACTCACAATGTCAGAAAATTGTGACTGGTCTCCTAACCTAAGTACTAGAAGAAGGTTTACCTTACTAACCACAAAATCCCCAGATTTCAAATTTTTCTTCAACCTTTAAGAGTCTCTGTTTGGACAGCAATGTTCTTTCGTGAAAGAAGTTTCTTCAGCGCTTAAATAAGTCATTCAAGGACTGAATAATAAAAATACCCTACAAGCAACAGCAAATCTTCTAAGATATTGAATCATGGCTGTTTCTGCAGAGCAATAAGGTTACAAGTAGCAGAAAGGAACGTCATCAGAAACTGCCTCAATAAAATTAACCTGTGAAAGAAAAAAGAAAGGGGAGAAAATTAGGGGAAATTACTTTTACATTTTGAGCTTTCCTGATGGTTTTTACCTGCTCTGAAAATAACATGGTGGTGACAGAATTGAAGGGAATAGAATTATTTGCCATTTTATTTGTTACTCTGAAAATAAGTGTGCAGCAAACAGTTTGAAATTGATTAAATTATTACACATCTAATATAATTTAATAAATTAATGATTAGTAAAGAAGCATGTTATACATGATTTCTATTTCAAAATGCAGTTATATTTCAAAAACTGTTTGTAACAAGCAAATCTCATGTATGAGGCCAAAGGTCTAGAAGTGGCTGGTGAGCCGCAGGTGTCGGAGTTTGGCCTCCGACACCTTAACTGACCTTAACACCTGATCTATAATATACAAATCACCCAATTTAAGAATGCAAATAATAAATATTCTATAAAATATTAAACTTGCCAGATAAAACTTTTACTATGAATTTTATGGTCTTCTGTATTAAATTTTTATTTACGCTGCATTTAGATTTCAAATTTTCAATAATTTTAGGTAAGAGGTGCACCAGCTATATCTATCGTAGCAGCTCTGAGTCTAGCTGTTGAATTGGCGGAACGAAAATTTACTTCCAAGGAAGATTTACACAAATTTGTTTGTGAAAATTTGAATTACCTTGCAACTTCTCGTCCTACTGCTGTGAATCTTTGCCAGGTTGTGAAACTGGTTTCAAATCTATCTGAGCAATATTTACTAGATAATGCTTTTTCTGAAGACACGATGAAAGAAAGGTAAAACAGTAAAATATCAAAATTTGTTATAGTATTAGTATAAATTTAAAACCAACCAAATATAACTGAAATGATTAAACATTCAAAATAAACCTTATGTTTCATATATACGTATTTTATATTATTTTTCATATTTTAAATGCTGTACAAGTTTGTTGAATTGTAAATTCTTTGGAGTAAATGGAAAAAAAAAAATCAATTTTAAGAATCTATTTATTTAAGCTGTTAATGTTTAGGTAGTAAACCTCTAATAGAAAAAATAACTTTGCATTTTCAGTAACTTAAATCAGTAATCTAAAAAGTAATAAAATATCAAGAGGATTTTTACATTTTTTACTCCTGTTAATTTAGGATTAGAAACAATAAACAAAGAAGTTTACTCACAGACATTATTATAAACATTTGAAAATAAACAGTAATCTCCTTCTTGTTTTTATATTTTCTAGTTATAATCCTCTTCCTCTCTATATTTTATTTCTTTAAAGATATTGTATTTATAAATGAATGTCATCACTCTGTAGTTTTCTATCAGTACTTTACTTTACACTTCTTGCTTTCTTATTCTTCTGCTAAAATCACATAAACCATCAGTAAGAAATTTATTATTATTATTCTTTTTTTCAGTTCTTCCTGTTATTTTTAAGATCTTCACAGACTTCATAAAATTTCTTTTAGTAGTTCCTGAAATTTGTGATCTTAAAACAAAGAAATATTTTATAAGTTTGTTAAAATTATTGCACATTTTATTTAAGGAATGTTTTTGGTGATTCTTGAATATTAATATATATGCAAAGAGAGTTTTATTCCCCCCAAACCTTTCATGTTTATAATTATTGCTTTTTTCGTCAACCTAACATATTAGTATCTCGTAAATAGATAATGTATTAATTATCAAGGTAAATTCTCATTTTTTAAATGTAAATAACATATAAATAAATGCATCATATAATTTAAGAATTTATCTTAGTTGGTGCTAGATCTAATACCCTTATTATTTTAATACTTACATACACCGTGCTCACAAATTGACAGAAATGTTTGATACAGAAATCGAGAATTATATTCTGGGACTGTACACAAATTGAAGAGTGAAATGCTTGTCATTTGTATGTAACTAAAAGTAAAATATCATTAAAAAAAAAAAAAAAAAAGGTTTTTGGTGTTATGGTTAAAAAAAAAAAGGTTTTTTGTGTTCTCTTATGAGATTATGTGATGAGCATTTCTGTGCAAAGTATTGTACTGTATTGTAAAGTAGTAAGATGATAATTTCTGGGTAAAAAATAGTACAGTCCTCCCCAAGTGCAAAAAGGGGGGGAATTTTATTCACCGAATCTTACAGATTTGTGTTCAAGAAAACACTGAGAAACTTCAGTGTTGGCACATACCATTTTGTAATGTTATTTACATTAATTAAAAATGAAAAATATTTGTACTTTAATTAATTTTTTATGATTGCCAGATTATGATTCTAAAGTAATAGAAGTTCTTGAGAATATAAGTGATTTAATTTTAGACTTTGAAAATGTATAATTAAATGTGTGAAAATTCTTTCAGCATAGAGAATATTAGTGATTTAATTTTAGACTTTGAAAATGTATAGTTAAATGTGTGAAAATTCTTTCAGCATACCAGATGTAACACAATTATAAATAAATATACAATAAAAGTAAATTAAAAAAAGAATATCATTGAATGGCATTTAAAGGGGACAAAAATCGACCTGGAATTATTCTAATTTATTTTTTAACTGACCCCTCAATGCAAAATGATAATGACGTCAAATATTGCACATTTTGAAATTATGAGGGGTGATCCAAAAAAAAGTGTACACGGCAAATGAAAAAGTATTTATTAACAATAGAAACAAGATACAAATGGGAATCAAGAGACACATCTGGCCTTCACTTTTCCACATAGTCGCCAAACTTGTTTAGGCATTTGTCAGAACGTTTGACCAACTTGTTTATCCGGTCTTGGTAGTAATCAGGGCCCTGCTCATTGAGCCATTTCTCGGCAGCTGTTTTCACTGCATCATCTGAGGTGAACCCTGTTCCGAATAAGTATCGCTTCAATGCCGGAAAAATGAAATAGTTACTTGGAGCCAAATCGGGGCTGTATGGGGGGTGATTCCAGACCTCCCACTTGAACCCTTGCAGCAATTCCTGAGTCTGGCAAGCTGTATGGGGCCTGGCATTGTCATGCAGAAGAATGATGCCTTTGCTCAGTAATCCAGGCCCTTTGCGTCGGATGGCTTTACACAATTTCGTTAAGGTGGCATAATAACGATCGGTCTTAATGGTATGGCCACACTCCAAATACTCGATTAGGATAACATCAGCTGTATCCCAGAAAACGGTTGCCATCACTTTACCGGTAGAGGGTGTGACCTTAAACTTCTTCCTTGTCAGTGATCCAGCATGTTTCCACTCCATCGTGGCTCTTTTGGATGTGGGGGTGAAGTGATGAAGCCATGTTTCATCACCGGTAACGATGCAATCAGTGAAGTGTTGGCCGTCTGAATGGTATCACTGAAGAAATGTGAGGCTGCACATCATTTGAGTGGCCTTATGCTCCGTGGACAACGCACGTGGAACCCAGCGGGCACAAACTTTGGAATATCACAACTCATGGGTTACGATACGCTTAACGTTACCATAACTCAGGTCCAACTCTGAGGCAATCTCACGCACGGTTACTCGATCCATTTGGCTGATTTCTTCAACACAGGCCGTCTTGATATCCATCCTTGAAGAACTTGGACGGCCGCTCGCTTCCATATTGCTGTTTTCCACATGCTCCCTACCCGCTTGATAAGAACGACACCATTTCGCTACCTGTTGTCTACTCATTGCTTTGTCCCTGTATACCTCAACGATTTGTTTGTGAATTTCGGATGCGGCCACATTCTTTGCCCATAAGAATCGAATTACAGCTCGCACCTCTATGCGAGACCACTTTTCTAGATGATGTGCGATTACTGTCGCTCTTAAATGTCTGCGTACTGGCGCTACTTACTCATAGAACCACTGTAGGACAACTAGCGCCATCTGTCAACCACCCTGGGTGGAAATATTCGCTCCACAATTATTACGTTTCAAATGCTTCTGCTTGTAAACTTTTTTTGGAACAACCTAAGTAAATATCTCGGTAAATTTTGTTATATGGGAGTCGAACTTTTTATGTTTTATTTTTTTATATGAATACAAAATTTTCCTGTGTATGTGTATTTAATTATATGGCAAAGCACACAAGGGCTATCTGCCTAAGGGGAGGGATGCCTTTCGTGGAGGACTTTCTAAGGGAAACTGGCTCGTATACACGTTACACATGAGGAAAACCACGAAAATGCCCATGCAGCCAGCCCGTTCCCGGGATTCGAACCTCGGACCAAACTACCAGTGTTCAGCGACTTTACCGCTCGGCCACTAGTGGGCCAAAATTTTCCTGAATATAAATATTGGGACCAAAGAAACATGTGAAAAGTTAGAATCTGTATTTTATACAAAACTAATTTTTGAAAATTTAAAAGTATGAAAACATGAATCTTCATCATTTAAAACAATTTTAAAGTATATATCTACAACCAACGGTTATGAATATAAAGGCTGGGTAAGGACTTTTATGGACACAGTGCATATGATTCTGCTTTTTGTTGCTAATCTGTACGTTCTTAATATCTTATACATAAGATTATTAGAAGGATATCCTTTTTAAAGGAAAAAAGTATTACATAAGCATGATATACATGTGGGTATATTTTAGTAAGCTATTTCAAAAATTCATGTAACTCTGGACTTATATTATATCTCATTAGCTTGTTATTTTAGCAACTGCACTTAAGACGGTGTTAACTGAGTGACAATTTCAAAATAGACTGTAACTAAAAAACTTTCGGAGCAAGTTCTGTCAGACATTCTAGAGCAGCTAGCAAATCAATAGTTGTTATGCATTTCAAAGAACCTCGGTTTTAAATGTACTGTTATTGGCTGTAGAGTAAATACTTCGAAAAAAATTATATTAAATGCATATAGTCAGCCAGCTGGCTCTATTAACTATGTATCCCATCTATGCAAACCAGTATATTCTGAAGTTAATATAGACTGAGGTTTACTTCCAAGCTGTCAGAGTATAATTTGCATTCTATTATCCACATAAATGCCTCTTATGAGATACTTTTAGTCATATTTATATTGACAATTCAGTTAAATAACTAAATGCCAATCCATTATTATATGCCTCTGGTGCAGCTGTCTGTATTAAATGCTCAAATATATAAAAGGGATCTTTAAATATTTTGCAGGAAATACTAATTATAAGGTTGTATTCAGTTTGTTGGAAAATGAAAATTAATGTTCCCTTATATTAGCTGGGTAAATAAGAGCACTATCCCCTCTCTCTAATTTTATTTATAACAGCATGCTCTCTGATACTCTGGGGCACCTTAAAAAATTTTAGAAGGTTGTATGGATTAAAGTAACCTCAGTGCCTTTAAATTTCTCGCATTATATCTGTCTTTATGAAAAGATATTTTTTATTACCTTATTTATGGTAGTAGTAGTCTTTTGCTGTACACTTTCTGTTTAATGTAAGCACCACAATAATAGTTAGGGTAGATTAGTCTATTTAAATATGGCATGAGGACTATCTGCCTGAGATACCTTCATGCAGGCTTTTATTTACATTACACATGGAGAAATCATGAAAACCAACCATGCAGCCAGTCTGTTTGGTTGGATTTGAATCCTGGTTGAACTACAGGATTCAGCTATATTAAACACTCAGCCATTGGTAAGGCTTCGTAATAATAATAAAAATAAATATTTGAATAACTAGGTATTTCAGTAAACTTTGAAAATGAATCAAACTGATCTATTGCAAAAATAAATTTTGTAAGCAAAACAACATAAAATTTTAAAAATGTAAACACCAACTTAACTAAAGCAACCATCAGATTCCAAAAATGAAATTAAATGCCTTTTTTTTTTTTTTTTTTTTTTTTGTTTTTGTTTGTTTGTTTGCATGTTCTTCTGGTTTAATTAGTGACATTCAAGCTAAGTAAATAAATAGTTAAAATTCAAGTAACCAAAAATTTAACTTGATAAAATTTAGCAGTAATTTTAAATTCTGTATTTTGACATTCAATTTGATTTATCAAAGTTCCAATCATAAAACTTATAAGTGTATAATAAACAAAAAATGTAGATGTATGCAACAATATATAAAGCTGCTTATATTTCTCAGATTAATAGGAGAAATGGAAAAACTTCTAGCTAGTGATATCAGAATAAATAAATCTATTGGAGAATATGGTGGTAAGCATATCGTAGAAAACTGTAAAAAGAAATTAGTTTCAATTTTGACTCACTGCAACACTGGAAGCTTAGCTACTGCTGGATATGGCACTGCTTTAGGTAAGCACAAATAAAAATTATAAATTTAGCAGCTTAAATATAAAAATATGCATATGTGATATTTTTCACATATGCATGTAATTTTGCTATTGTATGTAAATTCAATCTAATGCAATAATATATTACCTGTAATACAAGAATTCTTCATAAATTTCAAGGTCTTACAATATATGTAGTTCTTAAATTTTAAAAAAAGTATAATTCATTTATCTAATATTATAATTCTATTATTAAAATTCACATATGCTTTGGCAAATTTTTGAAAAATCTTGGAGAGCAAAGTTAGAAAATTAATGTAAGAATAAGTTTCATGTTGAAAGATTTTTGATAATTTGAAAATATTACTTACCTGTCACTAAAGTATGCAAACTGATATGTATTTTTAATACTATATAAAATTGAATTGATCTATGATAATTCAGCATTTTAGATTTTAATTATAATGTTATAAAATACAAATATACACTTGAACACTTTTCTTTTAAAAAAAGTAAGAGTAGAAACCAAGCAAAAGTTTTAAAATATGTAAACATATTTTTTTATTAAACTGTGTTTTTTAAAATATAAATTTGATTACACACATGCTAATGATTTATTGCATTATGTTAAAACACTTCACCATGTGAACAGAAGTTTGCTTTTCATATCCTCATCTTTGCCCACTTTATGACTAAACGTTTTCATTATGAGTGTATACACAAACTGCTAAATCACTCATATATAATTTACAGAAGATAAAAGAAAGCTACTTTTAGAGTTTACCTGTTAAAAAAATAAACTATTTATAATGTAAAAAATAAAAATACCTAAAATAATCAAATTAATGATTTACAAGCCTTATGTTCATATACTGCTTTTGATTACTGGACTGTTATTTTATTTTCTATCTTGTAATAAAGGAATTTCTCTCCACAGGTGTCATACGATGGTTACACGAAAACTCTAATCTTGCCCATGCATATTGCACTGAAACAAGACCTTACAACCAAGGAGCCAGACTGACCGCTTATGAATTAGTTCATGATAAAATACCTGCAACTTTGGTTTGTGATAGTATGGTAGCATCATTAATGAAGTCAGGGAAGGTAAATGCTGTAGTTGTAGGAGCGGACAGAGTTGTAGCAAATGGCGACACAGCAAATAAAATTGGCACTTACCAGATAGCTGTATGTGCTAAATATCATAATATTCCATTTTATGTAGCATCACCAAGAAGTACTTTAGATTTTAATTTGGATACAGGTGATTCCATACCCATCGAAGAAAGGCCACATCATGAAATGACAACTATTAATTCAATTGCCATTGCTGCTGAAGGTAAGTTTAAAAATCTCATTGTTATTCATAGAATTATGTGGAAAATGATCCATTAATGTACAACTGTTAGTTTACGGTAAATTTTAACATGGAGTGCAAAAATAAACATTTTTGAGATTTTTTATTTTCATAAACGCAAGAAAGAGGCTGAGGCTCGTGTCAGAATTGGTTTAAAAAATTTCATTCTAGAGATTTTTCACTTGAAAATGGCCAATAATGTTTTTAAGTTGACAATGATTAAATTAAAGCCATAATTGAATCAAACTGTCATATAACTTTGCAAGAGATTGTAAAAAGATTAAATGTATCACACACAACAAATGAAAATCACATTAGATGTCTTGGACATATTAAGAAGTTTGATATTTGGGTTTCGCATGAAATGAACAAAATTCTGTTGACACAATGAATTAATATTTGCAATATGCATTTCAAACATACGCAATCAATCTTTTTTTGAAACAAATTAGCGCTAGTGATGAAAAATGGATTCTCTACAGTAACTGAAAAGGATCATGGCCCAAGCATGATCAATCAGTACAAATAATGTTGAAAGCTAAACTGCATCAGAAAACGATCATGCTGTCAGTTTTGTGGGATTACAAAGGTGTCATGTATTTGAGCTGCTTCCAAGCAACCAGACAATCAAATGTTTACTGCCAAATCTTATGAAACTGGAAGAATTATTAAAAAAAAAATAGAGATTAGAATTAACAAATTGCAAAGGGATCATGTTCCACTATGACAATGCGAGGACTCGCACATCTTTAGGAACATATATGAAATTACTGGAGCTTTGTTGGGAAGTGATGTCGCATCTGTCAGATAGCCCCAACTTGCATCAACAAATTATAATTTTTTCAAAGTTTACAAAACTTCTTAAATGGTAAAAATTTCAGTAATGTTAATGACCTCAAATTGCACTTGAATTTTTTGCTGATAAAGACCAGAAGTTTTATGAGTGTGGAATCATGAAGTTATCAGAAAGATGGCAAGATGAACAGAATGGAAGATATTTGAGTGATTAAAATTTAATTTTTTATATAGGGAAAAACTGAGTTTTATTTCACACTAGAAAACCAAAATTACTTTAATGCTAGCCTGATAAATTAAAAATTAATGGACAATGTATTTCAAAATTTCATCTGATTACATATCATTGTTATTTTAAATAATTTTCTCATTTCATATTTAATTAAAAATTATTAAAGCAGAATTAATTAAAATAAAACTAAATGACAGTTTTATAGTACATACAGACCTCATTTTAAGGTCATCCACATATGAGGTTATAGTGATCCTTACATTTGACCTATACTGTCCTATATAAGCATAATATTGAGGGAATTTTTGAAGTCCCAACCAAACTTAAACTGTTTCAGTGTTAAAATTGAAGTATTAGTATTGCATTAGAGTCAGTCTTCTTAAGCCCAAGACACCTCTGTAACAGGCCCACCAGTGGCTGAAGGATAAAGTCACTGTACACTGGTAGTTCATCCTGATTTCAGTTCCAGGTGAATGGGCATCTTCCTGGTTTTCCCTATGTGTGATGTGGATACAGGCTAGTTTCCCAAAAGCATTCCTCCCATTAATAAGATAGCCTTCGCATGCTTTGCCATAATCAAATAAACCGAACCTCTGTAAAGAGTTTCAGTATTTTCCAGCTAGTGAAATCATTGTTTTCTTATTGTTAATTGTTCTTTTTGGAGATTGTATTTTTCATTTAATTCCTTCACTTACAGAACAAGCATGATCTAAGGAGAGGGATGATAAAACAATAAAGCATCATTTTAAATACGATTTTAAAATTTGATCTTTGCAATAATTTTGTTAAGACTGACTATAAATGAAAGATTGAAATGAATTACATCAATGTACAGGACAAATATGGACTCTAGTACATTTCCAGGTTTTATGTATTAACTCCTCAAGGGGAAAAAAAAAAAAAAAGAAAATCTTTTTTCCAAATTGTCTCAACATTTTTTAAAGAAGACTATGATATTCCAGCTGAATTAGAATAATGGGTACTTTTCCGTTTCGCTGGCGCAAATCTCGCCAAACAGACTTTATTTGCGATAACACACAGTATACGCATAAAATATGTTAACATATGTTAGTTCTAAGGAATTTTTATTTTGAAGGCATAAACATTTTAATATCGTTTAAAATTTTGTAAAAATACAATAAATAAAGACAATAAATTTATAAAAAGACATTAATTTAAGAACTTGCTATGCTTTCATGGTACAACATCCTGATCTGCCATCAAATTAAGTCTTGATATGGAATGCAAGAGTTATTTGAATTCGTACAAATAGATTACTCAGAAATTATGTAAAACCGCAGTGCTTGACTTCGCTATTGTATTCTCATTTGAACTGATGAATTTAACCCTTGACTTTGCCTTTTCTATATTTTCACCTTCGGGTAAGCGGTGTGATTGCATCCTTATTGACGTAATTACCGCGAATGGCCTTAGGGCATAAAATTGAACTATCTGGTAACAATTCTATGTAATTGCATGCCAGTATTGAAAGAAACAATCAGTCTAATAAGAAATGGCTGCGATGTTGAAAATGGTGGAAAAGGTTACCAGCAAGGATATTCCGTTTGGCATCAGTTGGACCATTTTTGGCGACTTTATTGTTTGCGTCGGCAAAATGGAAAAATACCTCCAGCTGAATTAGAATATTGTTGGCATAAATAATAATGTTCTGATTTATCCATCATATAATTTTGATGGCATTAATTTTATAAATTTATAGGCAATGAATATTCAGGGATTTTGTTAGTGTTAAGAATGAAGATGATATTCTCAGTGAAACACTCTGTAATGAGGTTTCTTAATGGCAGCATCAAATTAAAGTTAGAAGCATTTCAAAACCATAAATAATTTAAACACAGCAATTTATGTCTTGAAATTGAAAGCAAAACGAAGTATTACTGGTTTTTTCAAGTATTTTTTTATCATTTATTTGAAGTTTATGGATTCAGAATGCAGTGTTGTAATAGCATATGTAAATAGATAAGTAAAAAAAAAAAAAAAAAATCTTCATAAGTATTTCCCTTACATTTTTATAATAATTCAGTTACAAGTTTTAAATAATATTTTTAAAAAAATCTTTTATTCCCTTTCAGAAATATTCAGAGAAAGTTAAGTACATGGAAATCAGCACCAATATTTAACATATTTCACTAAAAATAAAAGGTGCTCTAATTTGAAATGGACTGAATAAAGCATTAATTATAAATTGACTAAGATTTCCGATTTAAAAGATGCCTCAGAAGCTAAAAAATCACGTCATATTTGAAAAAGTATTTCAGGAAGAAGCTATGTAAATAGAAAAGAAATAATGCATAATTTTAATATTTAAACAATAAACTTTGATCTTAATTTTTCTAATCCGTAACCAAATAAAATCGAATTACCTTAAAGTTTTTTTATAATGTAATTAACAAAAACTTGTGAAAATATTTCATTCAAATTAAACTGTTCTGTGAAAAGTATAGCATTTAATTCTGTTCAGAACCAAATGTTGTTTAAAAATGTATTCTTTTCACATACTCTGAAATATTGTAGAAAAAGAAATATATACATTTATATGTATGTTTATGATGTAATTACAAAATATTTACATCCGACTGTATCAAAACCTATTTATCTTAATGGTAAGTCATTGAATGTTTTGGTCTCCACAAAGAGATCGCCAGTGTTTCAAAGTAGTGTATGGGGAAAACCGGTTAGAGGCCTCTCTTCTTACTTCCCACCTCCATGGCATTAAGGGAGGGGAGGAATTAAGGAAATCAAGAATTAAGGAATATATGCAGTCTAGTCGTAAATTTACAACCCCCATTTTTACGGGGGGTGGATCTGAAAAGGAGGGAATAATCTTGCTCAGGGTCGTGAGAAAATGTGGGGGCTGTTTAAACATCTAATTTCTCTGCATTCAGTTTTTTACAGAAGAAAATACAAATTATATTCTTCGAATGAATGGAATTTTGTACCATGAAAATGTATTCTTCAACGATAAACTGTAAGGCAAATAGCGTCTTTTTTCTAAAGCCATAGGAATAGAAAGACAGCTATTTGTTACATCAATGAATTCGTAGTAAATATTGAGATTTTCATTTCAAATGCTATGTTACTTGTATGCAAAGTATCTGAGAAAATAGTCTTAACCCAAATGGCTTTCAACTTTATCACGCCTAAGGACTGTTTTTCAATGACATTGTGGTCGCTGCTTTTTGGTTAATTTTCTAATGACATATAAACATTAAATTGTTTTTACTCGAGATTTATGAATAAAATAACGTGAACTAGACTGCAGAAAATTCCTCAGAATGAAGTTAATAATACTGAAAAATACATTATTGATGCACTTTTTGGTTTTATATGTAATCTGCTTTTTGGTTAATTTTCTAATGGCATATAAACATTAAATTGTTTTTACTCGAGATTTATAAATAAAATAACGTGAACTAGACTGCAGAAAATTCTTCAGAATGAAGTTAATAATACTGAAAAATACATTATTGATGCACTTTTTGGTTTTATATGTAATACAGTCAAAAGTCATTAATTCAGACACCCATAATCCGGACCTCAAAGCTACAAACTTTCTGCACATGCGTCACATTGACGCATGCGCGTAAGACCTTTACGGCTGCGAATATGCGTGTGCGCATGCGCATAATACGTGTACCCATGCGCGTTTTATGTATAACGGACGGTATCAGCTAAGCTAAAATTATCTAATTCAGTTAATGTTGCAGATTGCGTTGTTCCTTAATCATCGATTGGATCCGGCTTATTATGTTTTGCAGACTGTTAGAGCAAAGCAATTTTATACAAGTAAGCTTGAAGTTTCGATTATTTAAATTAATTTTAATACAGTCAAAAATCATTAATTCGGACACCCATAATCCGGACCTCAAAGCTAAAAACTTTCTGCGCATGCGCCGTGTTGACACATGCGCGTAACACCTTTATGGCGGCGCAT